GCTGTTACTGCCATTTCCCCGTTGTCTAACCCTCTGCTGTTTTTCCTCTCTTTTTTCTCTCCCCCCTCTTTCTTTGTCTTTTCACTACTGGTTGGAAATCTGGAAGGCTTGCTCATCGGCGCCAGCCTCTGTTAATCCCCTCCCAAAGCACCTTAGCAACGCTAGGAATTTAGAGATGCTAAAAAAAAACCACACGACGACAACGACAACAACTGTTCTTAACACTGGGCTCATATTGGCAAGAGTGGCCACATCTTGAGATGTGTGTGTGTTTTCCATAAGTAGTTCAGAACAATCTGGATGGGTGTGATAACCAAGGATCTCTCAAGAGTGTGTGTTTGTGTGTGTGCAAGTGCAGAACGTGTGGGTCTGAACGTGTGCACAGAGTGGGACTGCGTGTCTATGTAATATAGTTCCTATATAACAACCAGCAACCTGGTAATCACAGCATGTAGTCACCTGAGATACTTATTATCTAGTCTCTTTACATGTTCCCTCTTTGTCTGTACCACGGCACAAGCTGCATGCTGCTGGATGAGCGTTTGTCTTTGTGTGGCGGGCTGCACACACCTGAACAAGTCAATGATAGGCTGAAAACGAGTGAAAGAAATATATAAATTATTACAGACTGCAGTGAACAATTTATGTTTTATGGGAGGGTCGAATAAGCTTTGAAGATTTTAACTTAAAATTTGCAGTAGTTTCATAAATGTCACTCCGTGTTAGACTATTTTTATTAAACGAGAAGGGATAAGTCCAGATTGGTAAAGGGAGACTGCAGACTTGTGACTTTTGTAAAAATCCAGGCTACCATCTTGACTAGGAATCCTTAAACACTTAAACACTTTCATTCAGTGATGGACAGTGAGACCACTCAGTATGCTGCACCCCACCCCCTTAACTTGCATCTTCTACAGACTTATTCTTCCCTTTCTCCTCCTTCCTCCCCCCCAAAATCCCCGGTTCCTGTGGAGTGGCAGGTTTTGTGTGGTCCCCAGCACTGTCCCGTTTTTATCTGTCCTCTGACGGGTTACCCCGGTCCCCCTCGCACCTGCGCCGCTCCCAGGTCCCTACAGGAATGCGCTGGGGCTTGTAATCGCCTTTGTGGGGGCCATTGAGTTGTACGGCTGACTGAAACTTCCCAACCTCACAGCGCGCTGGCCGCTGAATGGGACACAGCGTGGGGCGGCTCTCCAAACCGCGGACCCTGCCAAATTCCTACAGTGGCGCTCCACAATCACTCCCACACAGGCCCCGATATACCGCCAGGCAGGAGGGACGGGGAGGGGTCGGGATGTGGTGGTGGTGATTGTGTGTGTTGGATAGACACATGGAAAAGTCTACATTTAGCTCCAGACAAGACGGACACTTTCTGCGTCGCCACTCCGGATGCACATGGCGCCCCCCCCCCTTTTTTTTGTTATTGTTATTGTAATTATTATTATTATTATTATCATCATCATCATTATTGTCACTTTGTGAAGCTGTTACAGTAAAGCAATGATTTGGGGTAACAATAAATGAAGAAGATGTATTTTAATATCTCACCTCTTAAAAAAAAAGTTCCAGTGCAGATGCTATTCCAGCAACGGTGAAATCTGGAAAAAAAAAAGCAAATAAAAAAAATGCGTTTGGTGGATGTTGTGAACAAAGTTTCAAAATAAAGCAATTTCTCATAACTTTTAGTACATTTGTGCCGCGTTTCGGTGCATTAGGTCTGTGTGCCGGCATATAGCGTGGTAGCTGTGGGTAGATAGAGCAGCACTGCAGGATTAAGAGGCAGCAAGATTGTTAAACATGTCAACGTGTAATTGCACGATAAGGCCCTTCCGAGGAATTCATTGGCCCAGTTGCTTTCTCTATTCCGCGCTAATCTCGCCCGGCACATTCGCTCTGTGCAATCTGTCTCCATAATCTTCTGTGACAGAGCGGGCGACGAGAGCAGGCTGCTTGGTAATTTTTTTTTAGGGAAGGGGGGAGACGCAGAGAAAATATGCAGAGGCGTGATAAAGTGACGCTAATTATCCCCATTTAGGACAGGGAGTGCAAGGGATCGGGGCTTTACGAACAACCGAGTGTGCGCTGGAGCTGATGGCCTCCTAGCACGGAATATATCGGTGGCTACAAGATAAGGGTATCGCACGGTGGAGAGATTTATTGGCCAGCCAGCTGTACGTGCGCGCACTCACACAAACACACATATACTCTTTCTCCCACACGCGCGCGCGAGCGCATGGCCAACCCGCAGCAGTAGCAGCAGCAAGCGCCACATAGCCTGTATACTTTGCACCCTACACTTACCCCCTCTTCCACCTCAAGGTGTAATTTATTCGGGTTAAATTTGCCAGAACGCTCCTCTTTTTAGCCTGGCGATGCGCCGTGACGCGCTCCGCCTCTCCGGGCTTTCAGTGTTAATCCGCATCTCTTCACATCAACAGATAAGATAGAAACAGATGCAAAAACACACGCGGAGGCCATCCCCTGCCATACGGTGCACGCTGTATTGCGGAGATGTCTCCATAGATGCAATTGCTTTCGGGTTTTGGAATTTCAACTAATTTCCAGACATTGTTCCTCTGATTTTTTGCCCCCTAAAAGATTAATGCGCAGCCAGACGTTACATGCTTTACTATGAGGCCTAACAGGTTTAATTGACATACCATGCAAGTCTTCATCAGTGTGAAATAGGCCCTTTAACTATGTATTTGAGATTAATTGATTTTTTTTTATGCCTAAGCAGGCATAAATTCCCCTCATTTGCATGTGTATGACTATTAGGGTATCATATGAGGCCTACAGGCGATAAAAACGGAAAATCTCAAAAACATCTGTGGCCTGTCTTCAGCCTAATATATACATATATTTCTTTTAGATTAATGATAATTATAAAAATGACGCGGGCATCTTATTCAAAATGCAGGTGTTTTTGTCAAAGGTACCAAAACCGGTCCAAAATCAAAACACTACATCTGTGAAATTCTGATGAGTCATCACCAACTCAACAAGCTACTTCTCTGTAGAGCTGTGACGAGTGGAAGTCAAAATTCAGTCCGAGCAACAGTTTGGACACTGTCAGGTTTGTGCGTCTGTTTTTCATCTAAACAGAGATTTTTCTCCTTTAATTACAATCACGGGTCGTTGGTTCACTCTCAAGTTTCAGTGGTTTTTATCGAACATGAAATTATTGTTCGAATCCCAGTTTGTGCCTCACGCACTTTGCCCACATCCCCTTTCACTTTCCTGCTATTTTGCTCGAGAGTAAAAGGAGCAAACAAGTCCCCCACCACCTTGCTGCTTCTCACATTATGGGAGTAAATAATTAGAATAAAAGCCAAGTAACATAGATTGCATTTATTTGTTAGACGAGTGATCAAGCCTCTTTAAGTGCCGGTTCTTTGATTAGCAAGCTGATGAAAATGCAGCTAAAGAAATTAGGATTCTTGTGAATCCCACCCTTTTTTTCTTTTTACCCTCTGTCGCATTCTAGCTTATAACGTACAAATCAATATATATAATCTAATAATTCACATATATTATCTGACATCACCATAAAAATAAAGCTAATAAGAGAAGTGAATGCAAGATGAACTGATGGTGCAGTTCGGGTGAAAGATTACTGACAACCCAGACTTCGATTTTTATCCCCTTATTTAAAGAAACAAATAATTTTATCTTTAAAATCTTTTTCTTTCTTTAAGACATTTTTAGATAGCTGTTCTTTGCTATCCCTGCCTTATTCTTTTTTTATAGTGTGTTCAGAACAGAAGCTGTAAAATTGGAATTTTAAAAAAATGCATCTCAGGAGATCAAACACATGTTAAAAGTGATTAAATAAAAAAAGAAATAGCTTAATATTTTCCTTTAAAAAATGAAATACACAGTGGAGAAGTTGTTCAGTTTTTAAGAGCAGTTTATACTAAAAAAAAATCTGCTTTCATCGGAAAAGAAATGAAATTCTGGCGCAAGTTTCCGTAAAGAAAAATGCAATTAGACACACTGATTAATATAATAGTAGAATAGATAATGAACTAGTTTCATTTAGAAATATATATATATATATTTAAAAAAGATTTAAGCTGCTCTTGCTAATAAAGGATTAAAGGATTCACATCTCATAAGGTTTTAAAGGGGAAAATGACATGTGCTTATTACAAATATAATCAAATTTCTATTCATAAACGAGAAGGCTTCGTTCATAACACTAACAGGTGGCTGTCATGCTAAATGTTCTTCTTGTGCGTTATGCCATCATAACTTTTCAAAATATTCAAAATCAAGCTTGTCCTTTTATATTTATATTAAAGGAGAACGCGGGCCACAATCTGGGCCTGCATTGAATATTTAAAAAAATGTTTTCATAGTATTGGAGCCTGCGTGCTACTGAAATAGAGAAAAGCAAACTTTTTAAAAACAATTTATGGACACGTTTCTAAACATGAAACTTCAGCTTCTAAAACAGCATCCTGTTAGTGAAATGGTTCCCTCACAGCCCTACAGGCTGTAGCTTTTACGCGTAATTACGCACAAACAATTGGACCATTTAAAAGCTCGAGGGATCTGTCCACCAGCGTCAAAATTTAAATAGAAGATTTTGTTTTTTGTTTTTCGTGAAGACTTCTGACGATATTCTTGTTACCTAAAACAAAACAAAACACTTCTGTAAGACCACTGTGAAAAATAATCAATCTAAGACGTTCTCTTAAGAATCAAAGCAACATCTTGTGAAATTTATTCAATTATTCTTCATTGCAATATCAGAGCTTTTCGCTCGCGGAAAAGCACTTAAATTACAACAGCGGTTGCCCGTCATCCTTTCAAATATTAAAATTATTCACAATTTACAAGAATTAGAGTGTTACAATAAAAAGAGATGATTTCCAAGAATTATGACACAGGCTTCTGCAAATGAACACAAATGTTTAAAGAAGCTGATTTTCCCATATCTTTTAAAGCACTTTCTTATGATTATGACACTTATCTCATTTTCAAATAACTTACAATAAACTCCCCCCTCCCCACCCCCGACCCCCAAAAATGATGAGACAATTGAAGCAAATCTCCCCAATGTGAAAACCTGGCGTAACCCTCAGCTAAGACTGTGAAATAAAGGACAAAAAAAATAAATAAATGATAGCACAATAACCAATATCTCAGCATCATATTTGTTATATAATTCCACTGGTGGCTATTCCAAAAAAAGCCGAGATGAATATGCTATTTACCCTTCATTTACAATATCATAAACATTCTGTACAAAATGCAGGTAGTTCTCAGGACCGGGGTTATTTTAGAAAAGAGGTAAATATTTGGTTATGGTTCGTTTGCAGTTTTCAATTATTCTATGAGTTCTAAATGTGTGTTAGCGGGACGGTCCCGTTCACTCCAGCCGTGGCGCTCTGGTAATGCTGCGGCAAGGCATGGAGTCTAGTTTGCATTGAGGGGTCCCCCGGCTCTCCGGTAGGTAAATACATGCTTATCATCTCTCTCAAGTCTCCGGGGCAAGGACCCCGTGAGTGTGTGCTGCTGACGGGAGGGCTTACACTCGGCTCCGACTTCACCAGCGACCCTAATGTCCCCATGGCAGCTGAGGAAGAGACGCCGGAGCTCTGGTGCTGCGTGTAGGTGATCCCGCCGTAGCCGGATGGGGAAGCGTTCATGTAGCTCTGAGAGTTCGAGATGGGGCTGTACTGCAGGGCTGTCATGTCATAGCGGTGCATGGGCTGGGGGTTGTGTGAATGATGGTGGTGTGAGTGGTGGTGGTGGTGCGCTCCGCTCCCCGGGTGCTGGCTGTAGGCTAGCTGAGCCTCCTGCATCATCGCTGCGGCCGCCGCGGCAGCAGCCACCTGCCCCGAGTACGCACCGTTCGCCCAGCCGTTCATGTGCGCGTAGCCGGAGCTGGCGGAACCTCCGTGACCTCCGGGGCTCTCCAACCTCTGCCCGACCCCGGATGAACCCATGCCAACCCCTAAACCAACTCCACCGCCACCGCTCGGCCCAGAAAGAAGTCCACCAGCAAGGGAATATTTGTCCTTTTTCAGCAATGTCTTGGTCTTCCGTCTTGGTCGGTACTTGTAATCCGGATGCTCCTTCATGTGCATGGCTCGCAACCGTTTAGCCTCGTCGATGAATGGACGCTTTTCAGCCTCGGACATCAGCTTCCACTCAGCGCCCAGCCGCTTGCTAATTTCAGAGTTGTGCATTTTGGGGTTCTCCTGCGCCATCTTTCTCCGCTGCCCACGGGACCACACCATGAACGCGTTCATAGGTCTCTTCACCCGCTCCTGATTCGCTTTCGACCCGCTATTCGGCCCCGTTTGCCCCGTCGTCGTGTTCGTTTGGGGGCCGGGGGAATGAAGGTCAGTTTCCATCATCATGCTATACATTCACCTGGTTTTTAAACTTCGCCACCAACAGAGAAAAAACAAGTCACTTTCACAACAGGTCAGGCGCACACAGGTACGGGTGCGCTCGAGATGACTGGGCTACAAAATTAATATTCTACCCCAAATTGAAATAAACACGTGATGAAAATTAATCCGAAAAGGCATATAAAATGTTCTCCAACCAGCAGTTCGCCCTGTTTTCGCCTGGGCTGGTTCACATCCACTGTGATAGAATGCGCATTTGAGCCACTTTTCCTGTCGGAGTTGAGAAGTTGGTTAAAGCGGCGGCCATATGATGAGCACTGACAGCGGTTAAATGAGCCACAAGCGGCCAATGAGGCTCTAGCAGCGGAATGATTTGCATGGCGTTTGGTCAGGTGACTAGAGGACCATAGAGGAAGAACACACCGGAGGAGGAGGAGGAGGAGAATGAGGAGGGAGAAAGGAGGGTCAATCCCACAAATAGCACGAGGCATTTGAAATTTCCAAACACGCTCTCGAAGACTTCATCCACAAAAATAACGAAGATTTGTTAGCACTGATGTAGCGGCCAAACAGTGGGTGCAGTCTGTGATTAGGATGAGTCAAACATCTCAATTTATTTATATTAAAAAAAAAATAGGTTAGACTATGGCTGCTGATTTTTTTTTTTTTAAAGAAGGAAGAAATCAGACAGCTTATAAATTAGGAAGCATAAAAGTGTGGGTAAAATTCTTTTTTACCTTCAACTTTCTTCCCAGATTTGACATTGAAAAGACACTTCCTCTCCTATTTAACAAGTTATACTCACATTCGCAACGCGCACTAGAAGCCTGGGCCTCACTATATTTATGCACAGGATTTGCAATACACTCTGCCCCCAAACTAGTCTCAGACGACTTGATGCTGAGCAAGCGCCTCAGATATCAAATTTTAAACCATCTCTCTCCCTCTCCTGTGCCCCCTCACCCCTACCCCCTCCTCCTCCCAGGTATGTAATTAAGGTTTGAAGTAATAGCAGGTGTCAGATAGAGAAATTAAGCGCATTTATAGCTGAAAACTATTTGAAAGAGATGTGGTTAAAAGAAAACTCTTGGTCTGAGAGACGAAGCCCAAGAGGATGGATAGTCGTATAATGACGTGAAATTGCCGGGGCAAAGAGCCATTATCGCCGTCTGCTGGTGATGGTGAATGAGTCCTGGCCACGCGCCCGCGTGCAGCTATAGATGAAAAGAAATACTACACGTAAACTGTCATTTTTAGTGGATATGTTGTGGGTCTGTTAACGCCTCTTATTTAACATCCAGTCAGGTATTCCGTTTGTTAAAAAAAAAAAATACACGAGAGGGGAAAGCGGTCTGTGTCTTCGAGTCCGCGCATATATAATCCAGATTTCACAGCTGACCTCCCCTGAAAAGCCCAATCAACCTCTAATTGAAAGGGAAAACGAAATACCACTTCCCGCGGCGAGACTAACGATTTAATCATTCTATCGTTCTTTTGCTGTTTTTATTTTAATTGGAGCTTAGCTTGATATGGTTCTCTGTTTAGGACCAGAGGGAGCAAGATCACTCGGACGGATCCGGGCGTTTTTGGTGATAGGGTTAACTTGATGTCACGGTGGTCAATAAACGGCAAACGTGGCTTAAGGCCCGAGGGAGATGGCAATGTAATGATGACACCCGGAGAGCTTTGGGGAGGTGAGTGCGAGTGAAGCGATCACACACACGCACGCATAAAAAGAAAAAGAAAATAAGAAACCAATTCTTGTCTCATTATACAGATACAGCGATTTGTCAGTATCTGCTCAATATTGAAAGTCTAATTCATAAAAACATTTAACCTTCTTTTTTCTTTTAATTTAAACATATTTGAACTAAATAGTGTAAGCACACATATAACACCGCTAATATTAAACCGGCCTATTAATAAATGTATTAAATACATTTTCATGCTTTTCAGATTTCTTAAACCTGCCTGGACCCTGCCCTGACACGACTCTGCTTTAATTCACACCAGTGCTGCAATGCATCAATGCATCTCCAGCAGTTATTTTAAAAAAGTCGACATCCTGATGAAAAGATTAGAATTGTTATCGTTAGCTTTCTTAAATAGCCAATAGTAAGAGAAAATATGACTTGTACTATTACTGTCACTCTTGTTAGAATCATACTATTATTGTCGTTATTTATTCTCCGTGCTGAGTGTCTTTAGGCTTGTACGCACAGGATTAGCCTTTACAGTGACATTGGGACCCTGGTGGCCCCTGTTTACTTTCTCTGTCATTCCCCGTCAGTCACTCCTCTTTTAACAAACCTCCTTTCAAACCTCCTCGCTCCTTTTGTGCGCGGCCTTTGTGACGGGTTGTGTGCGCACTGTGATGATGGTGCGCGACTGGGGCCAAGGGTCAAAGCGGTTATCCAACCCTCCCACCCTCCATGGCCACAAGAAAATAAAAAATATATATAAATAAGTGAACAATTTTAAATAAATACACACAGCTTGCGTGCCGACTCCTCGAGCGCAGCGGCCAGCGGGTGCTATTATGCTTTTTTTTTTTAAAAATTTTTTTATTTTACTCTGCGTCCAGGAATCAGTCCCACGCAAAGGAACCCCTTAATTAAACAAAAAAAAGAAAAAAAGAAAAAAAAAATCTTTTGACTGGCTTCCTCCCTTTCATCATCTTCTTCTTCTTCTTCTTTTTTTTCTTTTTTACCCCTTGATGCAGTTAACCTGAGCGGGGACAGCGTTTTTACACGGCTGTGGCTGTGCCCCAGCAGTGCACAAGAGCCGGCGCTCGTGGAACTGGGTGGCGTTAGTTTTAAGGAAGTAAAAGGAGTCCTGAACACCAAGGACACAAAACGTGGAGCTAATTATTCAAACGAGTTTAAGAGACAAAGCATCTGCTCCTTAGCCTTAAATTACACATCCTAAATCTAAAGATGTGACGGTCAGCCCCCCCGCCCCCGCCCTCCCCACAACCTACGGAAAAGTAGAAACACCAAGACAAACATAGAGTCCTGAGTGAAAACAGGCTGCCACTGGATAGTCTAATGCGTCCCCTCGTATTTTACACCATCAAACAGTTATTATTGTTTACGGCGAAACAAATGTAGGCGCCGGCGAACCACATCCGATCTTCTTCCCTCGGAAAAATCTAACTGAGCTGGTTGAAGAGCAACTTGTAGGATCATGAAGCCACAGTGTGAGCTTTGCGCAGCCCCTTGTGGAGCTCACTTGTTCCAAAATAAAACGACAGCCTGCAGCTGGAAACACATATTATCTGCACTGCACTGAACACAGACGCTCCGAAATAAAGGCTGTCAACAAGACATTTATTTCAGCAAGCGGAAACGCCGAATTCAGAAAGCGTTCAAATTCGCTTCACTCTGTTAATATTATAACAATTTTGAGAATTAATTCCACCACGCGTTAAAAAGGCGATTTTACGCACAACAGACAGTTTAACTACAGATTAGATGTATATAAAAATGACTTTCTTGCGTAAGGAATTGTAATATGCAAACTTACGCATGTCCCCCTCGTTCCCTCTACTCCAGACAAAGTGGGAAGAATTCTCCCTCCATGCTCCTAAAGCCGTCCTAAACCCCTCCAAAGCTTCATGTAAGACCGCTACTCCCACTACAATCTGGCCGCTCGAGTGCCAAGGCCATCCGTGCCCGGTGCCCAAACCCACCACTCAACACACACTGAGGGGCAGAGACAAGAAGAAATGACATTTATTATACACTCTAAAAAAGACAATTCCAAGTTATTGTTTCTCTCTGCAAAAAGGGGGCTTGCTTCTAACATAATGAAGCGTCTTTTGTGTGGCACAGAACAATACAAAACAAGTATTCTAATAAATAGCCACTTTTTTGTGTGTGTGATGGTGGGGGGAGAGGAGTGTGTGTGTGTGTGTGGGGGGGGGAGGGGGGGTGCTCTCCAGGATGAATGGGCTGGAGCGGCGGGGTTCTGAAAGGCAGCTGTGCCGCATTCGGAGAGGAGGGGCGAGGACTTGGCGAGGAGCCCCCGCACCCCCTTCGCCTCCTCCTGGATACTGACTCCCATTACTGATCCTGGAACAGAAAAGGACGCAAAGGTGGGGGGGAGGAAAAGGGGTGGGGAGGGGTCGGTATTGACTTTGGAAGCTGTTTTTACTCAGGACATACACTGTTTCCTACAATATGATCTTGGAGTCATCAAATATTGTCTCATGCTGTGATGTCCACAGAATCCAATTAGATGTAACCTGCACAGCTTGTAAGCATGTGGTTTTGACAGCTTCTAGGTGGGGAAGGATTTAGCCTACACACACTCACTCACACACACACACACACACACACACATATAGCATACAAAAAACATGCAACAGCCACACAGCTGGGCTGATTAAAGCTTTCCTATCTACACACAGGTTTACCGTTTTGAGATGCAGCATGTGTTTCACACACATGGTTCGGTCTCCTCCTCTGAACTCACCGTTGATTGCTTCACAGATTAATTTCTTCCCCGGCCTAACCCTCACATGTCACATTTGTTTTGCAAACACAGGACCAGAGCCCATTTGAGCAGCTCCTTCATTGTTAATGGATTCAGCAGTGCTTCTGCTGCTGCTCCTCCTGTTGCTGCTCCTCTCTCCCTCCAATGCCTGTTGCAGCATCCCTGCTCCAGGGCTGCCAGAACTCACAGACTCCCTGACTTGTAGCTGATGGGTGTCTTTGCTGCAGGCATCCATCTGCCTACTGGGGGAACCAAGGTGGAAAAACTCCTAATAAAAGTAATTTCATGCTTTTTCATTCTTTGCCAATAAAAATGCTCTAGGAATGCTTTCTTACAAACGTTCATTATTGTTTAGTAACCTAATCAGTTTAGAAGGGCACACAGGGCTTATGTTATTATCCCTCAAAATGTTTTTCTTTTCAATTTGTTTTAAAGCGAAAATACATTTCATAGATGCCTAAACATAGATACATAGATGCCAAGATTTCTTCCTGGTGTGCAACATCAAGATAACCCTCAAGGTGTGAGATAACCTACTGGCTTATTGCGTTAAACCACTGGTGGTTAACCAACACTTCCTTTTTTCTAAATCTACTTTCTTCCCAGGACAAAGAGAAGCCACCTTGCAGATTAAAACAACTTCTCCACGCTGTCAGGTTTTACCGATTCGCCGGTGAATATTATGCGAGATGTGTTGCATCAAATAAGCACTACAAATAAACCACATAAGTGGGAGATTGACATAGAGTGGCAAGCTAAGTAAAAGTGGCTGGGTGAGAGAGGGGGTGGGGTGGGGTGCAGGGTGAGGTTGGGTGAGACAGCCCGAGAGGGAGATAAGATCAAGTTCAGACCTAAAAGCGTTGAGGGAAAAAAGTGAGCCAATTGGCTAAAAGCAGAGGTCTTAGTTCAGTTCATTCTGTCTATCTCGAATCGCAATCATATGGCACTTAAAAATATGAAGACCTCAGTCAGCGATGTAATGTGATGTATCATCTGTTGCATGGGTGGAGAGGCGGTGTTTAGAATAGTTAACCTGGTTTATATGTAGGATTTCAAAATGTATTTCAGTAAATAGCTTAATGTCTTTATTGAGTCTCAAGCAGGA